AGACTCCTCTCCTGTGGAACCAAATACCAGTTTTAGTCCGTGAGACAGACACCCTGTCTACTTTTAAGGTCAAGCTTAAAACTTTCCTTTTTGATAAAGCTTATAGTTAGAGTGGCTCAGGTTATCCTGAGCTGTATCTATAGTTATGCTGCTATAGGCTTAGACTGCTGGGGGACATAGGGACCCCTTTTTCATCATTCTGCTTAATTCTATCTCTATTCTCCCAATCTGCAGAATCTGTTAGTTCAAACTGTAACGTTATGCTCTCTCTGCTTTTTCTCATAGTAGCTTTGCCTCGTCTGTTCCTGTTTGGCTGTGACTCCATCCTGGAGAGAAATACCAGCTATGCTGCTGCCATCAACACCTTTATTTATAGATTCTGGAGATCGGCCTGTTTTCCAGTGTAGTCCTGTTTCTCTGACCGTGACTGGCTGGATGTGCTTTCTTCATTCTCTGACAATGGAGCTGGCTCGGAGCTCGTCTTCCCTGATTGTGTGTTTCCTGGACGGTGCCGCCTTTTACAGCTGCTTTTTGTATCTCTGCTTCTGTCTCCTTGAACCCCCGTTGCCCTCGGCAGATGGCCGCTCACACTGAGCCTGGTTCTGCTGGAGGTTTTCTTCCTGTTAAAAGGGAGTTTTTCCTCTCCCCGTCACTACAAGCATGCTTAGTGTGCTATATAAATAATCTGAATTAAATTAAACTCACATCTTGTTTTAAATTATTACTCGCTTAATTCAAGTTTGTTAAGCCGGTTGTTTTATTAAGCACAGCGCTTTATTGGGTACTGTTCAGCCTTGATTCCCCCCTAACACCAGACGGGAAGTTTAGTTTAAATAGCAGAACACAAAAATTAAGGCTCAAAATATCACCACAATTTGAAGAATTATAAAAGCCTGGATATAAAATCTGCAGTGAAACTTGACTGTTTAGACAGCCATCCCTCTTGACCCGACAAAACAAGTACAGCCCCGCGCGGCTGCTCATTACCAGAGTTTGAGAAAAACAGGCCACTTTTTCTGCCTGAATAATGACATATTTAATGAGCCCTCCATCTTATGCTTTAATTTCCTGTGTTTTCATCATACGCTTTGTCCCTAGACTGAGGACTAATTCATCAAAAGCACCATGGATATATTTAAATGAACATACAGAGGACAGAGCATGTGAGACTGCCTGAATGACTTTGAATAAGTGTGTGTGTGTGAATTTGTATGATCAAATGGGATTTCTGGGTCAGCTGCAGGAGAAAGCCGAGGGTCATGAAGGAAAGAACTGATTATTCTGCTGTCACTGTCATTAAATCAATATAGCCCAGCTAGATCGTACTCGTACGGATGCAAACACACACATGCATCTCTTAAACTATACCAGTCATGCCATTTAGATTCATTTTCATATAAATGCATTTTAAAACTGCATTACTTTTCTGTTTCCCTCTGTTTCCATCTCTTACAGAATACACTTACAGACGTGTAAAGTTTGGGCTCAGGACCTCCTGTGGGTGCTGCTGGGCATGGTTGATTGACCTGCCTACCAATCTGCCCAACTCTCTGCCACAGAATCAAGCAATTAAAAGATGCAGGCGCCACAGCAGCAAGGGTGGGTGGGGGGTGTTAACGACAGCTGCTGTGCTGAATTTGGAAACAGCTGCAAGGGTCCAACCTGAATATGCAGGAACTCTGTCTCTGCCCAGGTATGAAACTAGACATTGTTTTTTTGTTTGTTTTTTTAGTATATAAAGTATATATTTAATGGTTTTCCACAAATAAAGGGACAATCCCACAAAGTAAAGCTCCAAGTTAACAGGCCAGAAAGATGTCATCCATCCATCCATCCATCCATCCATCCATCCATCCATCCATCCATCCATCCATCCATCCATCCATCCATCCATCCATCCATCCATCCAGCCAGCCAGCCAGCCAGCCAGCCAGCCAGCCAGCCAGCCAGCCAGCCAGCAATGCCAGAGGTAACAACATTTGAATTGCATCTGTAGATAGCTAAACTGAAATGAAAGTTGGGGTAAACACCAGACCCAAGGCATCAGTGCTACAAACTGTGGTTCCATGTAGCCTATGGCTAAGATCATCAGAATAAATTTGCCCATAAAGTCCTGTATGATGTTTAAAACTAGCTCAGCCTATTAGAATCTGAAAGTCTAACTGTCTAACTGTTGTATAATAACTTCAGCTGCTTTGTTTCCTAGACACCCGAATGATAATTGTTATCAATTTTGCTTTCTACCAGAAAATCGAGCAGAAGGATCGTTAGTGGCGGACCTTAAGCCCCACAGTTTGATTCTGTAGCAGGACAAGCAGCCTCATCACAGTAGCAAGGCCGCTAATAATCACTCCAGGAAGGACATTTTCTGAGTGGCTTTGCAAAAGTCTGACTAATTCAGCTACTGTACAATGACATTTAAAACACCACCCATTCTCAGATACTCTGTATCAAGGCTCCATAAAACATTTCTACGAAGCAATGAGGTTTCTGAGAATATAATAAAAAAGACCTTCATCGTGACACAGTGGGAATCCTGTGTGCCAGCTGGGAGAAAATACTGTACATTTATCCAAATGGATCATTCAGAGTAAACGAAATGTTCAACTGGATCTTAAGGTGTATAAAATGAAGAGATTAAAAAACATGATATGGATGTTAAAAAGTTAACAGCTATCCAAAACTTTTCAATATCCATTAATCACAACATTATTTGAACAAAACAATTATCTGAATTACTTGATTTTCCTTAATCTAGTTTTGTTATGTTTATCCAATATTAATATTTGCTAGTCATATGAAACAGGGGAGGATTTAGGGAATTTGGGGCCCTAGGCAAAAACAGGCAGGGGGGCCTCTGAGGTGAGAAGACAACACAGAAAACAGACACATTACACAGATACAGAAATGTTAATAGAATAGACATACATTATTTGTTCTAGGTTTTCTCCCTCTCTTCTTGTCCCCTTTTTTCTTGTTTTCCTCTCTATGTTTTGTACTCAGCTGACTTTTCATGCTGTGTCAAAAAGAATGAAAGATTTTTTCCAAGCACTAAGCTCACTTAGCTGATTGCTCCTTCCTGTGTTTCCAAAAAGACAAAAGTAAATAACCCAGTCCTTCTTTTCACTGATCTGCTTATCTGTTCTCCATTTTTCATCTGGATGAAATAATAGCTGCATGAATCATGACAGCAGACAAGATAGAGGAGAGCAGGAGGCGGGGTTACCAGTCTACTTGCTCTGGAGAGCAGAGTTCGCTGTTTTTATATGTCATAGTCAAAGTCTCCAGTAGCAGAAAAAAGTCACTAGGTTTGGCTCTGGGTGCTACTTTGAAACCAAAGTACTAGAGGGGCCTAAAAAGGTTGCTAAATATAGTGACAAAAGCGCTAAGTTGGCAACACTGCTCTTCCTGCTGGTTGTTTACAAATGGTTTGCTGCTGTCTGTTTGGACTTTTCCGAACATGTGCAGCAAATGGGCAGATCCAATGTTTGTGGACACTGAAGGCAGGGGGGCTGAGACACGCTTAATATTATAAGTGTTCTGATGGCATTTTAGCAAAAGGAATTTTTATCAAAAATATAATTAATATGCAAAAATAAGGAATAGTTGTATTAACCATACATGTAAACAGAGTTTTATGGGCCCTCAGGAGCTTGGGACCCTAGGCAACTGCCTAGTATTGTCCAATAGTAAATCCCCCTGATGTGAAAACTTCACTTCCATGATGTCAGATCAATTTGCAAGGTGTGCTTATGGTGCATTTAAACACCTCAAACATCCTAATCAGTGAGTGAATCAAGAAATAAAATGTAAGAAATCAAACAAAGACGGATTGATTTCAAGATGTCTGAGGCCGATATGTTCTTCTGTAACATGCAGAAATAACAATTTTGCTCTCTATGTAATAGAATGGAGTCTGTTTAGGTGTAAAAAGTGTCCTTCAGGACAAAGTTACATACATTCAAAGAGGACAGCCCCAGCTGTAAGGAAAGTCATTATCAAGAGGGAAACCAATTCTGCACTGTGAATCAACAAGGTTTGTTAAGAGGACACATTTAATTGCTTCCTACTAAATCTAGAATGTCTCCTTAAAGCAATTCTCAGGATAATTGGATGAAAAACAAAGAATTACTAGTTGCACAAAATGTTTTTTTGCTACACTTCAAAATTTCCAATCCAGCAAACCCATTGTTTTTTTCTATGCATGTTGGTTTTAAAGGAGAAGTCCAGTCATATTCAGAATCGAAACTTCTGAAAGTACTTTCAATGAATGATTATTGTTTTTAATTAAGAGTAACTTTCATTTCAGCACATTTTTCATGTGCTTTACTGGAGGAACCCATGTTTGTCAAAGAACACTACTGCCACCTACCGGTTTGTGACGTCACGGTGCGGTAACGGCTGTTGATCAAGTCCCAGTGCTGTATCTGGTGTTTGTCACTACATGCTACTATCCAAGTCATCTTGAAAAAATTCTTCTTCCAAATGTTGGCTACATATTACGTGCTTTTCTTTGGCCAGAAGTTCAATGGCAAATCCATTAATGTGGGCGTTGTCAATTTAACTATAGCTCTGGTGAATTTCAATGGTGAAGTCCTCTGGAAATCTTCAATAATTGTTGTTGATTGCAGATGTGTCTAGTAGTTCCCATTGATTTTGCTTGTATAGCAGGGAGAATGGCACTAGGCTTACTGCACCGCAACATCACTGCTGGAAGACGGCTGGAGTGACATGTTTTTTCTATATTTGGGAAAAAATGGACGCTCCAGGACTCAGTGATTGCAATGGAAATAATTTTTCTTTTTTTTTTTTACTGATTGATGCTAAATTCATTAAATCACTACGAACGTATTAGTTTTAGGTATAAATAATGATCTGTTGATCATTCCTTGCTGACTGGACTTTTCCTTCAAATTAATTTTATAATCAAAAATATTTCTGCAGATGACCACAGGCCTCTTAGCCATCAACTGTGAGTGGGCTGTGCTGCTCATACTCACATGTGTTGGGAAAACTCAGGTGCCTCATCGTTGATGTTGGCCATTCTAATCCGTACTGTCGTTGTCCCTGTGCGAGGGGCCTCTCCCTTGTCAACTGCCATGACAACAAACTCGTACAGGTGATTCGGTCTTTCGTAGTCCAGAGGCCCTGCTGGGAACACGGTCCCATGAGGGGAAATGATGAAGTCTGGACTTAGGGTGTAATAGGTCAAATCCGCATTGGCTCCTGAGTCGCAATCATTGGCAGACACTATGGGCAGGAAAGAATAAAACAGGAAAAAAACAAAGTCAGAACAGCTTAAAAAGTAGTGTTCTTGGTAGAAATCTTTCAATTATGGTAATTTCTGGGTGTTTGTAGACATTTCTTTTTTATTAGATGCAATTTGACTTTTTTGTCTGTCTGCGGGTATTACGACCAGACATACCTGAAGGGACATCATTAATACCTAGAAACCACCTGAGCCTGGACTTGGTACAGTTGCAGCCTTTCAAAATTTCCCTTCCCAGTCAAACGGCAGGCGAATGGCAGGCCACTTCCCTGCAATTCCCAGTGATATCCTCTCCAACTTCCAGACACTGGACTGACCCCCTCTTGCATATTTTTTTACTCTGACTCCACCCGTTCACTAAATCACAGGGTCAGACCAGGAGATGATGCTTCTCTTTAGATCTTGATGTCAACAAATCATGACTGAATATTTTAGTACATAGATTGACATTTAAAAAGGAATTTTAGAGGACCAGCCAAGGACCAACCAAGGACCAACCATCAAGGAAAGTGGGGAAATTTTGAATGGCTATTACTGTAGACATGTTGCTCACCTTTCCTTGATGGGCTTTTGGAAACGCCCCCTCTATTACTTGACACACACCACGAAGGTTTGGCTCATCTCATAATATCATGAATTAATGGCGATATTTTATCTATAGCCATTAATGCAGCATGTTAATGCCAAAACGGCCCACCACTGGATAGTGATACAAGTGATAGAAAACAACTTTGGAAACTTTGAGGAAGATCTACAGGTACCAGTGCTTTTTGCTTCTCCCTAATTCAGGGGTTACCATAGAAACTCATCACCACTTGGACACCAAACTGCCAAAGTTCTTATCCCTGATGTTCCTGACTGACCAGGTACCCCGTATCAAAAAGAAGGACTCACTGCGCTACGCTACAGAGAGACATGTGATGAGACAGAAGTTATGCTCCTACTTTGCAAAGTAGTAGAAAGTGTTGCTTGCACAGCAAGCATTGAAAACACTGTCATTTTGCAACATTTCCCAGCAAGTGGCTTACATTGGGAATCCATGGACTCTGGGCCAGCTTGTCCACAAATTGACTGCCTTGCTAAAACTGAAAATTCCACAAGGGATTTGAATAAGCATATTTTACTCTAACAAGAACATTTCACCATGAAAAGCTCAATTCTCCAATTCGCCTTACAGTGCATTTAGCTCATGTGCTCTTACAAACAATGCACACACACCCACACACACATCCGTATGAATAATACATGTGCAGGCACTCACACATATCAAAGAAGAAACAACAGCTAACAGAACTGCAGTTCGTTATTGGCATAAAGCCTTGGGGAATTTTAAGTGGCGTCAAATGAATAGTTTGAGGGTAGTTAAATGAAAATAAGCCGGCAAAACAATTTTTACAGTTTATAGCAAGGTTTCTGAAGTTTCTGTTTATCCACCTCATTTGTTTAATTAATTATTTTATCTAATTTAGTGCGGATAAGGTCAATTGATTTCTATTTCTGAAAGGCTAACAATGATTAAAACTTCTGCATACCATGGTCTTTGTTTTTTAGTTTCCAAAACTAGTCAGTTAACTAATAAACCAATTAAAAACACAGAGGTGAGTGTTGGGGTGAATGTGTGTGTGTGAGGATAACTGGTTGACTGAAGTAATTACCGGCTATTTCATTCAATTCAGTTTATAATTATATTTCATTTTACATCTCAGGTCACGTTCTAGATCCAGATTATTCAGATCATCCAGTCATCGACTTTACAGGAAACCTCCATCAGAACCAGAACCAGGCTCAGTGTGAGTGGACATCTGCTGAGGCTGACTGGGGTTCAAGGAGGCAGAAGCAGACATAGAAAAAGAACACAGAAGCTCTGACCAATAGCTAAAGGAAACCTGAAAATGACATTTTTATTAGAAAGTAAAATGTTCAGATTTTTAGAAAAAAAGGGGTTTTCTAGATGACCATGATCTAATTTTGATAAGCAAGCGCACGTTTCTACAATGTTCACAGAGCAGACATCAGGTTGTCTGTGAAGGATTCAGCTTCTTAAATCCATCTATACTTAATACAATTCAAATACAATACGATACTAAAGACTCTTTGTTTTCCATGTCGGCACAGAGGGCAGTTTGCTGACAGCGTCATCAGCCCAAAGAGCCAAATGCCATTGCTGAAAGAGAGATAGCACCATGAAAGATACTGTGAAAATGATCCCCAGGGTTAAAGAATAGAGGGGTTGTTGTGCCAACTCTTCCTGCTTCTATGATTTCTGCAGCATGCTGCCAATTTGGCCTCTGGACAGGAGAGACTGGAGCCATCTGCCACCCAGGAAGATCGTTTCGGGTCCTGACCAGAGGGGAATACAATTCAGCCAAAGGTTCATTCACCATCATTAGAAGGGATGAATTGAGTTGTGATTTAATGCTATGTAACAGAAACTAGAAATCAGCTGATCTGAGTGACCTATGAGCTTGTCTCCACAGATCAGCTGGACCCAGATTCACCGAGTCACTGTGGAATCAGTTTGCTGACATCATCAACTCTTTGTTACAGTAGAAGCCATTGAAAATTTTCCCACTTTCCTTGATGGGGCCCTGGCTGGTCCCCTACAATTCCTTTTTAAACATCAATCTTCATACTAAAATATTCTTTCTATTATGATTTGTGGACATTAGGATCTAAAGAGAAGCGTCATCTCCTGGTCAGACTCTGTAATTCAGTGAAAGGGTGGAGTCAGAGTAACAAAATATGCAAGGGGGGTCAGTCCAGTGGCTGGAAGGTGGAAAGGATTTTGCTGGGAGTTGCAGGGAAGTGAACTGCCATTCAGCTGGCATTGACTGGGAAGGGCCATTTTGAGTGGCTGCTACTGTACATTTTATGCCCTGCTTCTATTTTAGGGGGTAATTCACCTAAAACATAATTTATTCCAAACCAAAAAGAAGCTAGACATTTGTTTGATAATGACTAGAGGTCCTCAAGCACAGTCCTGGAGAGTCCCTCTCCTACTGCGGTTGGATGCATCCTACAAAGTATTTAGCCGTTTTTTTATTTTAATATTAAATATATTTGGATTTTATTTTTATTATTTTGAGGCCTAATCAAGACAAGTTCACCCTATTGATCCTTGGTTCTTTGTGTAATGAAGAACTGTTCAATAACGTTTACATCATTTCCTTGTGGTTTGCAAAAAATGTTTGGCCGTTACTCCATCCTGGAGAGAAATATCAGCTGTGCTGCTGCCATCAACACCTTTGTTTATAGATATTGGAGCTTGGCCTGTTTTTCAATGCAGACCTGTTTCTCTGACTGTGACTGGCTGGATGTTCTCTCTTAATCCTCTGACATGGCGGCTGGCTCGGAGCTCGTCTGCCTGGCTGTGTGTTTCCTTTTACAGCTGCTTTTTGTATCTCTGCTTCTGTCTCCTTGAACCCCAGTCGGCCTCAGCAGGTGGCGGCTCACACAGAGCCTGGTTCTGCTGGAGGTTTTCCTGTTAAAAGGGAGTTTTTCCTCTCCACTGTCGCTACAACATGCTTAGTGTGCGGGATTGCCTTCGTGTCTACGAGTCAATGCAATCAACTAAAAAACTTTGAATCAATTTAACTGTGTGATCTGGTGAACAGTTCCTTGCGATGACATCATGTGTTGTGAATTGGCGCTATACAAATAAACTGAATGGAATTGAAAATTAAAAGGATTTGGAGCTAATAGAGTGACGTGTGACACAGTGACTCAGGTTTATCTACATAGTTATAGTGTTATTGTGAAGTTTTTTTATTAGCGCATATATTCACCTGAGAACTGATGATGTCTGTGTGTTACAGACTGTGGTTTTGCGCACTAAAGTGTATTTGACAATAAAGTAGTGAATCTCAATCGTTTTATCTATTTTTATTCATTGTATTATAAATACGCCTATAGGGTCATAGGTCTTTTGTCCAACAAAAAAATAAAAAAATATTTTCAGAGCACCCCCAGTTCAAAATGACTTCCAGCGGCCCTGTCTTTCTGTAATATTTATTCAATTCATTTTCATCTGTTTTCACATTTTAATCAAATTCCATATTGAAATGTCTTTCCTTGATGTGGTACCATTGATTTCCATTAAACACATTGAAGTGGACAGATTTCATTATCAAACACTGCTGCGGCCAGTAGCAGCCAGTTTTCCAGTGGAAATGCAGCATCACTCCCTACTTCTGATGTCAGGAGGCTGCCACATAGAGAGCCCAATGCTGCATATTACCACCAGCAGACATGCATCTTAGAGAGATAAATGGGTCTGGTGAGGTAAAGTAATGAGTTCAGACAGCATGCAGCTACTTTCTACAGCAGGAAGAGGCATCCACTCAGTCTACAGGGAAACCCAATAAGATCCAACAGCAAAGTTATTCAGAAAGTTTTTCATTGTTTGCTCCAGCTTTGTCATCTTTGACACAGCTGCCATGGCTTTAGGTCATCATCTTCACTGCCACCCGCAGTTCTGCTTCCTGAATAATTCAGGAACTGCAGAGAAACCTTTCAGAAGGTGGTTGAAAGCTTAGTTGCTTCAAAGAGTAACTCTATTGTACCTCGGACTTTTACAAGTCAGGTCCTCCACGTTTCTCAGCTCATATTTATTTCTTCATAAACTAGGAAACCCTTAGCTATTACAAAGATTAGGGTGATGTACCGTAGGCCTTCCATTGTCAAAGACTTTGAGTTTATCACCTAAAACATGTCATAAACTGTACAGCCATTCTGAGGGGGGTTTGATTGTTGAATTACTGATATAAACCAGAAGCAGGACTCAAAGAAGCCCCGCATTTTGAGTCATGCTTCCCTAACATGTACGTTTTAAAGCAGGAAGCTTTTTCTGCCATGAACTAAATTTACTTCACTGGAAAAGCAGTTGAATGATCTGTGGCTAAGAACCAGTCCTTATTTAACAGCAAGAACAGAGACCGAACTGAATAATCGGATGGTTGCATAATAATATGAGCTATAGAGA